TGCACAATCAACTCTTTCTCCTTATATGGAAGGTAATGAGAAGAGTATTGCTAGGGTTTGTTAGAGTTTGCATAGCCCAAAACACTCTTTTGTCCAATTTATAACAACACGAACATTAGGTCCATGCACAGAAACGAAAGGCACCATCAAAAGCAATTAGAGGTTGTGTGGCGGAGCACTAGTCGAGGTGAGTTTGCTAACTTGTCAGAATTTTTTTATATATCAATGCCCATTCAAGAGCTTTATACACACCTAGTCTTTATTGATGAGATCACCTATCAAGACACCATGGTTTGAATACCTTTGACTTTGAATAGCTGTGTGAACCCCCCCCCTTTTTTTTTCCTGGACAGGCCACACAAATATACATATATTTTATGAATTGATAGGATGTATATTCGGGAAAATTTCAATCCGGTTTTTTATTTTTTTTGAGGGGGGGTGCTTGCACAAGCATGTGCAACACAAATTGGTGGCTTATATATTTATGAATCAACTATTTGAGGCTTGCATATATATATATATATATTTGGTAGCCTCCTTTGGAAATTGTATTTTATTATTGTCTGTAACAATAATTGAGTAATATATCCCACTGCACTTTCACCATAATTGGTTATTTTGACTTATGTGGAGGGGGATGAATGTGCCTATCGAGCTAGCCATCTGGATATTGAGCTAGTGAAGTAGACACTTCCACTACTACCTATTCGACTATAGGTGATTAGTTTGACTCATTTGAAGGAATGCGCCTAATGAGCTAGCCGACTGGATATTGGGCCAGTGAATGGGCTAGTAAAGTAGACACTTCCATCACCACATATTCGACTATAGGTGAGTAGTTTGACTTATGTGGAGGAGTGCGCCTATTGAGCTAGTCACCTTGATGTTGGGCTAGTGAAGTAGACATTTCCACCACCACCCATTTGACCATAAGTGATTAGTTTGACTTATGACGGGAATGCGCCTATCGAGCTAGTCGCCTTGATGTTAGGATAGCGAAGTAGACACTTTCACCACCACCCATTCGGCTATAGGTGATCAGTTTGATGTATGTGGGGGAATGCGCCTATCAAGTTAGCCACTTGGATTTGGATATTGGGCCAGTGAAGTAGACACTTCTACTACCACCCATTCGACTATAGGTGATTAGTTTGACTTATGTGAGGGAATACGCCTATCGAGCTAGTTGCCTTGATGTTGGGCTAGCGAAGTAGACACTTTCACCACCACCCATTCAGCCATAGGTGATTAGTCTGACTTATGTGGGGGAATGCGCCTATCGAGCTAGTCGCCTTGATGTTGGGCTAGCGAAGTAGACACTTCCACCACCACCCATTCGACCATAGGTGATTAGTTTGACTTATGTGGAGGAATGCGCTTATCGAGCTAGTCACCTTGATGTTGGGCTAACGAAGTAGACACTTCCACCACCACCCATTCGGCCATAGGTAATTAGTTTGACTTATGTAGGGGAATGCACCTATCGAGCTAGTCGCCTTGATGCTGGGCTAGTGAAGTAGACACTTCCACCACCACCCATTTGACTATAGGTGATTAGTTAGACTTATGCCATGATCATATATGTGTCTCTCCACAACACTATGCATTTTTTATTTTATTTTAATAATTGTTTGGCTTTGTCACTCAATGATGGTGTATTTCAAGACTTTCAAGAAAGGATACTTAACTATTCTCGAGGACTCTAGTGACGCTATTGAGAAGGGGACTACTCTTCCAATTCGTCGTCCTTTCCGTGGTGCATGGGGCTTGAAGTTCGAGCCACTTGATAGTTCTTTTCATTTGGTGTAATGGGCTTGTGAGACTTCATGTCAATTGGTTGAAGGCCTGTCACACTCTAGGGTTTTATTATTAAAGCTATCTAACCATGAAAATATTGAGGATCTTAGTTCATTCCTACCCTTGAGAGTGCGGTTCAGGATTAGAAGGTGGCATGGGGCCCTATTTTCAAGGCCATAGCAAAGTCTTCTTTTTTGGAAAGATATTGGGAGTGGTTGGAGGATGTGCTAGGGCAACATCGTGAGATACTACATCAGGCGGGTATTTATGATGCAATTTATGCTTCATTGTTCTCGTATGACCGACTGTACAGTGTTATGCGGGCCTTTTGTGAGCTTTGGTGTCCATCCACTGATACCCTTCACACTTTCATAGACGAAATGTCTATCTTGCTATGGGATTTGCATCAACTTGGTGGTCTTCCTATTAGGGGTGCAATATACGATGAAGTGGTGCCAAATGCCCAAGAGTTGGCCGACAATATGAGGGAGAAGAATTTCCTTCTTTCTGTCAGTTGCGGATATTTATTCCTTGTTTACCATCGACTTTGTAAGGAGTCGAAGAAGAATGTGGTAAGGATTACTAGTTGGATAAAATTTTGGTTTAAAGGGTAAGTCAAGTACCATAAATCAACCAAGTGGGCTTCAAGGAATAAGATTGAACACCGTAAGGATACTAGCAACCCTTCTGGTATTATTAACACAACTCGATCTCGAACTGTGAAAGAGGACAAAGTCTTCAGTGACTTGGGGATTATTGGTTCGACAAAGGGTGAGACTTATCTGTCAACTTTCCTTGTTTGTTGGTTGTGCAAATTTGTTCTACCCCATGGAGATGGCGACTTGATTAGACCTAGGGTGTTTAAGGTTGCTAGCATGATGGCTCGTGGTCGTTCATTCAGTCTTGCTATTTTTGTACTTGCTAGCATCTACAAAGGGCTGAATAGAATTGTTTCTTCTTCTGATCTTGGAAAGTGCGACGCCATTTTCCCGATCCATTATGTTTATGCTTGGTTAGCAGAGTATTTCAACATACACTTTAGTATTGAATATTCTCTGAAGCCTCGAATGACGAGATATGCTGGTGAAAGGATGGCCAAACATTTTGAGGAGTCAGAGGCCTATGACTTATTTCAATCATGCAAAGATATAACCTTGCATCATTTGGCGTATAGCGAGGGTAATCCCAAGGAATTGGTTGATGACGGTCATCTTTTTAACTTAGACTTAGAGTATTTCATCAGCATCCGCTCGAGCTATTTGACTTTGCGAAGTTTGTCTGTATGGTCATTGAGCCATACAGTCCTCACAGGTTTAGCAGGCAATTTGGTTTTATTCAAGCCATCTCGGGTAAACTTAAGGTTGATCTTTGGGATGGTAGTTTACAGAACATTATTCAGCATTGGGATTCTTGTGTTCGTGATGGTACCCGTTCTGTATTGAGGTTACCAGCGCATTTTGATTTCCCATCTCGTTCCACTACCAAGGCTTATTTGAAGTGGTGGTCTCAACTTTATGCAGGCTATTTCTCTAACAAAGAAAATTCTATCCCAATGAGTAAACGCTTGGCTTCACCAAATCAAGAGATGGTTAAGGTGAAGAAAAATACAATTGCTAAGAAAAATTCTAATCCCAAGACCAACGAAATGGTTCAAGGAAGTGTTGATGGGACTCTTGGTGGAGTAGTAGACGAGGACCATAGTCACGGTGATCGTAATTAGCATCACTTAGGGAGAGAATCTGGTACTGGTACCATTGGAAGGAACACCATTACTTTTAATGACGTGGAGTCATTTTTTATCGAAGTTCCTTGTACTTCTCAACCATTGGCTACTGATGTTGTATCGGTAATGACAGAATCTATTATTTGTCATTTCAAATTTTTTTTTTTTTGGACTTCTCTTTAATTTGTTTTGACAGTTGCCAAATGATGACTTTGATTTGGCATCTGGAAATAAGGATATAAGACTTCTTATTGAGTTCTTAGATAATGAAGAATCAGTTCACGTGCCATCAGCCTTCGATTTAGTGATAGGTCGTAAGAGTTGTCTCTCAGTGGACCCAACTCCAATTGTCCAAACTTCTTCCTTACCTACTACTCTTACATTGAGTCAAGTTGCACCTTCTGTGGCTTCTACCATTGATACAAGAAACATGATCCTTAATGATTGCCACTCAGCAGCTTCAATACTTGATAACCATATTAAAGGCTTATTGAGCAAAACTCTTATTGAAAAAGTTCCAATATTGGGCCCAAAGCTCCAAGAGCTTTATGATGAGCTCTCAAAGTTTCAGATAGACTATTCTCCTTTGCAAAGCCAGATTGAGAAGTACGTACAAAATGCTACTACATATATCTCTATGAAATCAGCGTTTGCTTAAGGGATGACTTCAAAGCTCCAGGATCAGCATTTGGCGAATGTCATCAACGTGTTACTCATGCTCTAGCTCTTGAGAATGAAAGAATTGAACAGGTTCACTTGCTGAAGTCTGATTTGGGTAGCCTTGTAGCAAAGAAGGTAGAATTATTAAAGGCGTTGGAACATTTAGATGAATAATCCCAACAGCTAGAGGCTACAATTAGTGTTGCTGAAGTTGAAGTGGTTCAAAGGCGAGCCCTTGTTTCCACTTTAAGGGACGAACAAGTTACAATAGAAGCAGCTGAGATCATAAGAAGCGAGGGTATCAAAGTCGCCCACAAGTTGGAGCAGCTTTTGAAGGTTGAACGAGGCGAGATCCAGAGTTTATCATAGTTGCCATGATTTATTATTTATTATTATTTATTTCATTTTTTTATTTGAATGAAATGTAGCTCGAAACCAAATACTTCATTATAAAATAATTGCTCTAGCAAACACTTTATTTATGAAATACATATTATAGTTTGAAGCGAAATACTCTTATTGTAAAACACATTAAATTTATTGATTTATTTAGCCATTCACAGTTTATACTCGTGCGGGCCAAGAGTAGTACAATTTTTTTTTAATAACTTTATTTCATATGGGCCAAAAACATCATGCAGTTTATGCTCATATGATTAGGAGCGTTATATTCTCATGGATAGTAGCGCATTAAGAACTTGTTGTTGATTCGGCCAACTCTTATACCTTCTTCATCAACAATCTTGTATGCTCCATTAGTGTAGACTTCAGTCACCACGTATGGACCATCCCACTTAGACAAGAACTTGTTGCCGGTTCAGTGGGTAGTGATGATAGGTCTTCGAACAGCCAATACCAATTCTCCAACTTGAAAAGACCGGGGTTTAACCTTCTTATTGAAAGCTCTGGAGAGTCGAGCTTGGTAACACTCAAGTTTTTGTTGTGCTTCAAATCTTTTCTCATCCAATACTTCTAACTCAGCAAAGCGTAGTTTTGCATTCTCATCATCAGTGAGACCTTCTTGTATAGCTATCTTTAATGAAGGAATCTGTTGTTCTAAAGGAAGAACCGCTTCAACACCATACACAAGGGAGTATGGGGTGGCTTGTGTTGGGGTACGATGTGTCGTATGGTTTGCCCAGAGTGCTTCTCCAATTCTTTCATGACAATCCCCCTTTGATTTAGCAACTACCTTTTTTAATAGGTTGCCCAAAGTTTTGTTAAATGCCTCTGCCAATCCGTTGGCAGGCGCGTTGTACATTGAGGAATTACGTTGCTTAAATCCAAATCTTTCACAAAATTTGTCCATTAGACTGTTGTAGAAAGGCTTTCCGTTATCAGTGATGATATAGCGAGGTACACCATACCGATAAATAATGTGGGATTTTATGAAGTCAATAACAATTTCTTTCTTGACTTCTTTAAGTAAGACGGCTTCAGCCCACTTGGAGAAGTAATCTGTGGCAGACAAGATGTATAAGTGGCCTGCAGAAGACTTGGTCAATGGGCCAACTACATCTAGACCCCATGCATCAAATGGCCAAGAAGCAATTGTCGGGTGTAAAGGTTTTGGTGGTTAATGGATAAAGTTTGTATGAAACTTGACAATTTCTTAAGTGGTCCAAGCAATCTTTAACCATCGTAGGCCAATAGTAACCCATCATTTTTACTCGAAAGTGAAGTTTAGGACCAGACTGATGTGCTCCACATATCCCGAAATGGGCTTCTTCCATGGCTTGTTGAGTTTCTTCATCCCCTAGGCAAAGAAGAAAAATTCCTTCGAATGATCGCCGGAATAAAGTTTCCTTATAGTAGATGAATAGAAGAGCTCGACGTCTTATTTTAGTTCTATGGAGAGAATCATCAGGGAGCTTCCTGTGTTCAAGGTAGTCTATAATTGGCATTCTCCAATCATTGACTTTGATGGCTAGTACTGAAATTGCGCTTGTTTCTACAAGGACACATTCCAACAATTGTGGCAATATCCATCATTGACATATAAAGACACTAACTTGTTCACCTTCTAGCAATGCCAGTGTAGTTGCTAGATTGGCAAGTGCATTAGCCACGCGATTTTCTTTCCTTGGAACAGATTCGAGTACCACCCCCTCAAATTTTTCAATGAGATAAGTTACATACTGGAAATATTGGACTAAGTTGTCTTTCTTGACTTCATAATCCCCCAGAGCTGATTAATTATTAACTTAGAATCCCTATAGACATCTAGGTCAACAGTTTTTAGCTTTGTTGCCATTTGTAAACCAATGATCAAGGCTTGGTACTCAGCAACATTGTTTGAGTAATTTTCGCCAAGAATAAATGAGTAAGGAAAAATGTGCTTCTATGGTGAAACAAAAATGACACCTGCTCCTGCCCCTTCCTTCCTAGAAATCCCATCAAAGAACATCATCCAAGGCTGTAAAACTTCTATAAACAATACATCTTCGTCAGGGAATTCCTCAGAAATTTCCCAATCAGCAGGGATGGGATGGTCGGCCAAGAAGTCTGTAAGGGCCTACCCTTTCACCACTTTTCTTGGTACGTAAATTATCTCAAATTCATTAAAGAGAAGAGACCATCTTGCTAAACATCCTGAGAGGATGGGCTTAGACATAACATACTTTATTGGGTCATCTCTTGCAATGAGATGCACTGTATGGGCTTGGAAATAATGTCTCAATTTTTGAAAGGCAAAAACAAGCGCCAAATACATTTTCTCAATTGGTGACTACTTGAGTTCATTTTCAGTTAATTTGCGACTCAAGTAATAGAGTGTTTGCTCTTTATTTTCTTTGTTATTTTGGGCCAGCATCACTCCAAGAGACTCTTCTTGAGCCGCAATGTAAAGTATCAATGGTTTTCCCTGAATAAGAGCTTCTAATACTGGTGGATGAAGCAGGTATCTCTTAATACTGTCGAAAGCATTTTGACATGCCTGATCCCAAACAAATGAAGCCTTCTTTTTCATCAGTCAACTGAAAGGTTGATAATGGCCTACCAAGTTTGCAATGAATCTGCGGATATATGCCAAGTGACCTTGGAGGCTTCTAAGTTCTTGCAGGTTTTTTGGTGGTGGCATCTTTTGTATAGTATCAATTTTGAACTAATCAACCTCAATGCCTCTATGTCGAACAATAAAGCCGAGGAATTTTCCAAACGTGACTCCAAATGCGCATTTGAGTGGATTCATCTTCAAGTCATACTTTTTCAGCCAGTTGAAGACTGTACGAAAGTCCTCTAGGTGATTTTCCTTTTTCTTAGTTTTGACCACCAAATCATCAACATAGCACTCAACAAATTTATGGAGCATGTCATCAAAGATCTTTTGCATGGCATGTTGATAGGTGGCACCGGCATTCTTAATTCCGAAAGGCATCACTTTATAACAATAGATGCCTTTTGTGGTACGAAATGCAGTTAACTCTTCATCCTCAAGTGCCATCCGTATTTGGTTGTATCCTGAACACCAATCCATGAAAGACAATACCTCGTGTCCGATAGTGGCGTTTATCATTAATTCCATAATAGGAAGCAAAAAGTCATCCTTGGGACATACTTCGTTCAAATTTTGAAAGTCAACACATATTCTAATCTATCCATTCTTCTTGACTACCGGGACCATACTTGATACCAATGTCAGATATTTTACTTCATGTATAAACCCAGTTTCGATCAACTTGTTGACTTCTTCTTCCACTTTAAGGATGCGCTCAGGTCTGATGTATCAATGAGCCTGCTTTAATGGTCGCATACCATGTTTGATCCCAAGGTAACAGGCAACAACCTTTGGACTTAAACCTGGCATCTCTTTATACGTCCATACGAAGACATCTTTATATTCGAGAAATAGTTCAAAAAATGTCTTTTCTTCCTCAGGCGTTAAGAGTATTCCCACAAAGATTGGTCAAGGGTCATCAGGAGTTCCCAAGTTGAGTTTTTTCAAATTGTCAATAGTTGATTGCCCCCTATCTTCAAGTTCTGGAGGAGTTTCTTGGAGATCATCATCCTCCGAATCTGAGCTAGAATCCTCTTCAACTGTTACATGGTGAGAAGCAACATGTTCAATTTCTTCTTCTCTTTTACTTTCCGCTTGAGTCTTAACTTCTCCAGTTAGTATGATAGTGTGCCTTTTAAGCTTAAGCGGACCTTTAACACTAACTTCAAGTGACGTCATACGTTTCATGCGAGAAGAAATCAAACTTCGAGTCTCATCGTCCTCCTTTGTAGAATTCAACTCAATTGTTGTTGTGCTTCTCTTGTTCCTGCCTTTTCTAGGTAATGTATTCATATCACCAAGTCGAGCAAAAAGGGACTTTCGTGACCAGGAAATTTGTTTTTCATCCCCTTTCTTAGTAGTGCCTAGTCTGTTAAAAACTGAAGGTTGAGAAGTTGTACCTTCATCTGTCTTATCAACAATGCTCATCTTATTAAAACCAAGGTTCAAGGTGCAGGAGCTTCAATGCGGTCAAACACTGAGACTCGAGGAGTTAGTCTTGGACTTTTGTCTTCACTTCTTCCACAGTGATATGATGTACGTCTTCCCTCTTCCCTCTTTCCTTTCTCTTGGAAGAGATACGAATGGGTTCAGTTGGCATGAATCCAACTCCGGTCTTTGGAGAGCTCACCTTGTACCCTTGTTGCCTTAACTTTCTCTGAGTTTCATTGAGACCACAAACTTTTTCATCTGTAAGTTCAAGACTTAACTCCCCCAGTGATGAGGGATCAGCAAAGTCATAGCTTGACTTGGCTAGAAGCTTGTAAGCTTGTGGATCAAACCTTTCCATTCGTCTTTCAGCTAAGGAGCCGTGTTCGATAAAATTTTGCGCATCAACCTCAATGCCTCTATGTCGAACAATAAAGCCGAGGAATTTTCCAAACGTGACTCCAAATGCGCATTTGAGTGGATTCATCTTCAAGTCATACTTTTTCAGCCAGTTGAAAACTGTACGAAGGTCCTCTAGGTGATTTTCCTTTTTCTTAGTTTTGACCACCAAATCATCAACATAGCACTCAACAAATTTATGGAGCATGTCATCAAAGATATTTTGCATGGCATGTTGATAGGTGGCACCGGCATTCTTAATTCTGAAAGGCATCACTTTATAACAATAGATGCCTTTTGTGGTACGAAATGCAGTTAACTCTTCATCCTCAAGTGCCATCCGTATTTGGTTGTATCCTGAACACCAATCCATGAAAGACAATACCTCGTGTCCGATAGTGGCGTTTATCATTAATTCTATAATAGGAAGCAAAAAGTCATCCTTGGGACATACTTCGTTCAAATTTCGAAAGTCAACACATATTCTAATCTATCCATTCTTCTTGGCTACCGGGACCATACTTGATACCCATGTCGGATATTTTACTTCATGTATAAACCCAGTTTCAATCAACTTGTTGACTTCTTCTTCCACTTTAAGGATGCGCTCAGGTCTGATGTATCAATGAGCCTACTTTAATGGTCGCATACCATGTTTGATCCCAAGGTAACGGACAACAACCTTCGGACTTAAACCTGACATCTCTTTATACGTCCATACGAAGACATCTTTATATTCGAGAAATAGTTTAAAAATGTCTTTTCTTCCTTAGGCGTTAAGAGTATTCCCACAAAGATTTCTCAAGGGTCATCAGGAGTTCCCAAGTTGAGTTTTTTCAAATTGTCAATAGTTGATTGCCCCCCATCTTCAAGTTCTGGAGGAGTTTCTTGGAGATCATCATCCTCCGAATCTGAGCTAGAATCCTCTTCAATGGTTACATGGTGAGAAGCAACATGTTCAATTTCTTCTTCTCTTTTACTTTCCGCTTGAGTCTTAACTTCTCCAGTTAGTATGATAGTGTGCCTTTTGAGCTTAAACGGACCTTTAACACTAACTTTAAGTGACGTCATACGTTTCATGCAAGAAGAAATCAAACTTCGAGTCTCATCGTCCTCCTTTGTAGAATTCAACTCAATTGTTGTTGTGCTTCTCTTGTTCCTGCCTTTTCTAGGTAATGTATTCATATCACCAAGTCGAGCAAAAAGGGACTTTCGTGACCAGGAAATTTGTTTTTCATCCCCTTTCTTAGTAGTGCCTAGTCTGTTAAAAACTGAAGGTTGAGAAGTTGTACCTTCATCTGTCTTATCAACAATGCTCATCTTATTAAAACCAAGGTTCAAGGTGCAGGAGCTTCAATGCGGTCAAACACTGAGACTTGAGGAGTTGGGCTTGGACTTTTGTCTTCACTTCTTCCACAGTGATATGATGTACGTCTTCCCTCTTCCCTCTTTCCTTTTCTCTTGGAAGAGATACGAATGGGTTCAGTTGGCATGAATCCAACTCCGGTTTTTGGAGAGCTCACCTTGTACCCTTGTTGCCTTAACTTTCTTTGAGTTTCATTAAGACCACAAACTTTTTCATCTGTAAGTTCAAGACTTAACTCTCCCAGCGATGAGGGATCAGCAAAGTCATAGCTTGACTTGGGTAGAAGCTTGTAAGCTTGTGGATCAAACCTTTCCATTCGTTTTTCAGCTAAGGAGCCGTGTTTGATAAAATTTTGCTCAGGCCTAACAAATCCCTTTAGTGTAGGTTTGATTAGGCTTGACAATCTCACTTGAGGAATTGGTATTGTTGTATCTGCTGGTAGTATCTACAGATCTTCTTTTATTATGGGGTGAGCAAAGTCTCCTTTAACTTTTGCGGACGTCGTGACTTCTTTAAACGGCGACTGCCCTTCTTTCCATTGAGACTTTGGCACTAAAGACTTGTGTCATTATATGGCCTTTTGAGGATGAAGGCTATTTTTGTGGTGACGCGACCTCAGGTGCTCTTTTGCCACTTGATACATCTTCCCTTGAGAAGTCCAACACAACTTGCTTTTCTTCATTCATTTTCTCTTTTCTTGCAGAAGGGATTTCAGCTGGAATAACTTCAGGTATCCCATTGGAATCCAAATAAAATTTTGCATCAACGAAGTGAGACTCAGTTTCTGTAAATGGTTTGTCATCAGCTAACACTGTCTTTATTCCATCTTGGTCAAATTTAAAACATTGATGGAGAGTTGACACAACTTCACCATTTACATGGACCCAAGGTTACCCAAGCAATAAATTATAGGACGTTCTTGCATTGATGACGTGAAACAAAGTATTGGCTGTGAGTTCTCCAATTATGAGGTTCAAACAAATCATACCAATCGCGCGTTGCCCCCCTTAGTTGAAACCTTGAATAACCAGACGACTTCGAGTTAACTTGTCAATTGGGATTCCGAGTTTCTTCATGGTGAACTTTGGCATGATGTTTATCGCTGAGCCTTCATAAACAAGGATGCGGTTAACTTTTTATTCACTAATAAAGCCAGAGACAAACAATGGGCAATTATGTGGCTTTGAACCTAGTTAAAAGTCTTCATCAGTGAAGGTGATTGTTGTGCAACAAGGAACAGAAGTGATGGAGTTCACCTTGGGATAATCTAGCTTATTAACAACAAACTCATATTTTCCTGGATCTTCTAACACTCGAACAAGTGCAAGTTGTATAGACCAAGGGAGATGAGACGCTTCACGCAAACTGAAGTCCGGGGGTAGTTCTTTTAAGGTTGCCAGAATATCAATTTCCTCCTTATCTGGCGTTGCCTTAATGGCATGAACTTGTTCCATATCTGCTTCAGTGGTTGAAACCATATAGATCGCCTCGACCAAGTCATCTCTAAAATATCCAATAGGGAAGAAGTCTTGCAAGATGATTGGGGCACGCGAGTTTTCTTCAAGAAATTTATCTTCTTGTTATATCTTATTTTCATTCTTCTTTTTGTCTATTGCCTCCTTCTTGGAATGTCGATGGGAGTCTTCTTTTCTTTTACTTTTTTGAATGGAAAATGTTGAGTCTTGGACTTGCTTCTTTGTGCTTTCCTTCGTGTCACAAGAGTCCAACTTTCATCTTCTCCAATAGTTAAGACTTTTTCAAAGCCATCATAGATATGCATGTCTTGGTTTGGAACTTAAATAACGATAGGTTCAAGTGAACCAAACTGAATGACTTTGGGAATTGCTTTCGCTGTTGGGATTGTAGATTATCACACTTTTGTCTTGGATTTTCAGGATGGAGAATTTGGAGGTCCTACAATAACCATTGCATGGTTGGATTCTATCGATTCATCAAGGTCCAAGAGGATTTTGTTCTTCTTGGCCAAGTTTACGAACAATTCCTTTAACACGAAGCATTTTTCAGTAGGATGACTAACTATCCAATGCTAGTGGCAGTACTTCGGATCCTTCACACGACCTATTTCTTTAGGACTTTTGCACTTAGGGAGTTGAATGACTTTCTTTTCAAGTAAATCTTCTAACATCCCTGGTACGTCAGAGTTAGGAAAGGGATACTTCTTTTCTTGTAGTTCCTTCAGAGATGGGCATGTTTCCTTCCTTTCTTATTTTTTCTTGTCTTTCATTGAAATCTTGATTAGAGCTGTGGTTATCGCCATTGCTTCTTTGGTGGTACCTTTGAAAAGCTTGCCTCATTTTTTCACTTCTTTGTTATC